GAAATTATTAAGGCCACTCCACATAGTTAAAAGGGAGGTTTATTTAGTGGGGTAACTTACAAATGAAGGGATAGGTAGGTTGCAGGGTCTGGGAAAGACATAGCGCAGTCTGGCAGTGTTCTCTGGAGAACTCTGCTAGGTCTACCTCCAGTGTCCAGGGTCCAGGAACCAAGAGAGGGTGGCGCATCTGGATCTTGGGTCTTCAGGGTCCTGCCTTGTAGGCGTGACAGTTACCGAAGCCTCAATGGGGGTTGGAACTTCCAGATCAAAGCTGGAATGGCTTTAATCTCAGCACTCGGGAGGCAGAGCCAGATCTCTGTGAGTTCGAGGCCAGCTTGGGCTACCAAGTGAGTTCCAGGAAAGGCGCAAAGCTACATAGAGAAACCCTGTCTTGAAAAAAAAAAAAAAAAAAAAAGCTGGAATGGCTACCCACTACAGCCTACGACGGTCCGGAACATCCGTGAAAAGAACAATGATGCTTTCAGAGGCAGAGATTACCACTGGTCTTTGATTCTGTTGGTTTGGAATGCTTTTCCATTGCTTGCCCCTTTGATTATATATATATATATATATATATATATATATATATATATATTATTGAGAGTATTTGACTAGAGAAACTCTTATGTTCCCTGGCCCTCTTTTCCTATTACTCACAGGAGACCCTGAACATAAGGAATGCAATGAAAGATATGTTATTTCCTCCAGTCCTGAAGAGTCGCCAGAAAGGTCTCGGGAGATTTCTGTAGTGTTTTCAGGCCTTTGAAGGGTAGAGCTAGACCCTGTGCAGTGCATTAAGGAGGATCTGCTGTGCCCAGGGAGGGAGGCTGGGTCAAAGTTCGACTACGAGCTGACTTGCACAGAGTGCAGCACTTTGTGTGTGCGATGTGATAATGAGTGGCAGAGAATGAAGACCTCATTGGTCTAAGGGGACAGTTTGATTTGGCTCCTGCTAGTGCTGGGGGAATCCAGGTTCCCTTATATCTGTCTTATGAATGTTTGAGAGACGTTAGAAACCTGAATCTTTAAGTACTGGCAACTAAAAGTGAAAATGAAAACAACACAATACTACGTTCCAGCAACATTCAGGGCAAGCAGGCTTTCAAGCTGCAACCTCCAGTTTAGACTTGTCTTGGGAAGTGTGGGAAACCTCGGAGGTCCTCCATGACAACATGCAGCAGTCTGTAATGGGACTCTGAGGGAGGCAGAGAGGCAGAGATGAGCATATGCTCTCACCAATACACGAGGGTGCCAGCAGCAAAGTCTCTTCTCTGGGAGAAGCCCAGGAACGGAGTATGTGCATCTCTTCTCCTGATGATGGCTGAGTCTAGACTTGCCCTCTCTTGTGAAACCCAAGCTAAAGTCCGACAAGAGTGCAGTCACATCCTCTGCACCTCGTCAGGATGGGCGAACCCTTCAGCAACATGCTTAGGGGGTGTGGGTTCGGCCCAGCGTGGGGTTGTTGGGGACTGGAAGTGACAGGGTGCACAGGAAGGGACCGGTGGCCTAGCCTTCATGCTGGTGTCTTGGGATGGTCATAACAAGTTATGGCAGATTTAGGGGCTTGAAATGACAGAACCTTGCTATTACAGTTATGGTGGCCAGAATTCTGCAGGACTGAGAGTCTGGGGGTCTGCAGGTTGGCTGTATCCAGGGAGCCTTGGGGGATTCTGTCCTGCCTTCTCCAGGTTCTGGTGACCAAGCACTCTGACTTGTGACTGAATTGCCCAACGCCTGCTACCATCACCACACCTCTCCTCTATAAGGTCTCGTTTATATCCTCTTTATTTCTGATACAGTAAGAACCCGTCTGTGTGTTTCAGAATCACCTCCCACCTCAAGAACCTTAATTCCCTTACATTTTCAAAGCTCCCTGTGCTGTGTATGGGAATGCAGAATGAACCGGTCATCTTCCAGCTGCTCTAACAAATGCATGAGATTATTCATTTGATAAGAGGAAAAGTTTATTTTCATTCAACGTTTGCTGGTTTCAGTCCATCAACCAGTGACCCATCACTTTTATGCCTGTAGTGAGATCACATGTCATGGTAGGGACATGTGGCAAAATACTTACCTAATGGCTGGGTAGCAAGGGGTGAGGAGAATCCAGTGTCTGTCATCCCCTTCAAGGGCAAGCTTCCAGTGCCCAGCCACTCACTAGGTCCCATCTCTTACCTTCCAATAGTGTGCCACTTTGGGACCAAGCCTTTCATATGTGACCTTTGGAGAACCTTCCTCCAAACCACAGCACATAGGTTCTAGGGATTGGACCGACACCCTTGTGTGTGTGGGGGGCAGTGGGGGGGTTTGCTGGTCACATTTGACCGCCTAAAGCCTTATTAACCTTCTGGACTTTGGTTGCAAAGGAGACATGGATGAGCTTTGCCTATGGCTAATGGTAAGTATTGAGAGACCAAAAGGCCAGAGTAGACCTTAGGAACGAGCTTGATCACAGGGCTCCCTCCCCAGTGCCCTGCCTGGGCATGGTCATATATCAGGAGGGGGAAGGACAGAGCTCAGTAATGCCTGGTTACAGTAGCCTTTCCTGTCTCCCCAGAAAAGTACTTTTGGTTTCTCTAAGCTGACCTTGAACATGAGAAAATAGCATTCTTTTGGTTGCCCTTGGCGAGAGTTTTTCAGAGCTTATGGCTACTTCCTTTAGAGGTCTTTCATCTCCTGTCACACATGGTTTTTAATCTTCTACTTTTTCAACATGGAGCCAACCATACTACTAGGAATGACTGACTTGTGATGTCATCTGGTCACATAAAAATCCTGATATATGTCTACATCGGCTGTGGAACTACATAGCCCTCTTCTTATTACCATCCCTCTAAATATTTTCTGTATTCTTTCTGCATTTTTCATTTTCTCATTTTATTTTATTTCTCACTTTATATTTATTTTCAAAGCAAGGGTGCTTTGCCAGCATGTGTATCTACGTATGGTGCACATGCATTGCCCTCAGAGGCCAGAGGAGGGCATTGGATCCTCTGGGATTGGAGTTACAGATGGTTGTGAGCCACAGTACGGGAGCTAGGAATTGAACTCATGTCTTCTGGAAGAGCAGCCAGTGCTCTTAGCTGCCGAGTCACCTCCCCAGCCCTTTTATCCGTTTTCTTGATCTAATCTTCCTGACTCTGAAATTTTGCTTTGAGAACCTAGGCCACACGCCCCCGCCCCCCGCCCCCCCCAACTGGTTCTTCAGCCTCCAGATGGAGAATGCTGTCGCTGTCTGTCCTCGTCTGTGAGTTGGGAGTGCCCAGCACTTGTTACTGTGAGGCTCCGTGCCACAGGGATTTGTGACAACTGACCCTGAGTTCCTGTGCTGTAGGCAAATACGTTTTGAGCTTTGATGTGCGAGCATTGGTTTATCTAGTCTTTGTTCAGCAAGCATTTCTAAAACATTGCCATAGACCAGGGGTTTGACTGGTCCTAAGAGGGTAAGGTGAAGGCATCTGTAATCCAAAAATAAGATAACTAACATTTAGGTACTAGGTACTGGGTAGTAAGTATTTTCTAAAGGTATCATATTTCCCTTTGTTCTCACAGTGACCTCATAAGGTAGGGTTTTTTTTTTTTTAAGATTTATATTTATTTTTCTTCCTGTGTGTGTATATGTGTATATGTTGTGTGTATGTGTGTGGGGTGGCTGCCCACGAAGGCCATAAGAAGGTATTGGAGCCCATGGAGATGGAGTTATAGGTCATCATGGCTGTCCAACATGGGTGCTGGGAACTGAGCTCATGGTCTCTGTGAGAGAAGTCAAGCGCTCTAACCACTGTGCCATCTCTGCATGGAGGTAGGGATTTTCAACCACGTTTTCTAATGTGAAAGAATAACACAAAAGTGTAGGGCAGTGTTTCTCAACCTGTGAGTCTCAACTCTTTTGTGGGTCAAACAACCATTTCATAGGAGTCACCTAAGACCATCAGAAAACATAGATATTTACATTATGATTCATAACAGTAGCAAAATTGCAGTTATGAAGTAGCCATGAAAATAATTTTCTGGTTGGGGGTCACCACACCATGAGGAACTGTGTTAAAGGTCGAGAACCAGTGATGTAAGGAGCTTGCCAAGTTGACGTATGTTTGGGTGAATTTGGAAGTCTGATAACCACTCTGCCACAGAGGACTTGCAACAGTCAGACTTCACTGCTGAGCTCAGAGCACAGGATTCGGGGTGTTTCTATCCTGGGTGTATCGCATGTCCCAAGTTCAATGGCATTCCTGGAAATATAAGGGAACTCTTAGAAAATCAAAAAAAGGAGGGTAGTTGTTCTCATGCCCTGTGCTTTTTGGGTTAAGACTCCCACGTTTCTTTTGAAAAGAAAAGCAAGCTGACAATATATACGAGATACCTTAAAACTTTAAATCCTATAATCATCCTTATGGGAATCTACTCCAAAGAAAGGACCGAAAACACAGAAAAGCTTCATGGTTGAGGATAATGATGAAAATGTTCTAAAAAGAAGTAGAAAATGCATGCACACAGAACTCAGATGTGCAAAGCACACGTGAGTGTCTTTCCATCCCTAACTAAGAGCCTAATCTGCTCTTGGAGCTATTCTATCAGGATCCCCGTCTTCATCCCACCCCATGGCTCCAGGGGAATCCTAAATGGATTCTTTCATTTCTAGATTAGCCTGGTCTCTTTGGGATCAATTCTCAGTTTTTCACATTCTTGCCTTGCCCTTAATCCTAATCAAGATGGTGTCTGAGTATGTGCAGGAGGGTAGGAATGCACCCTTCTGGTTGTCAGAGAACCTTGGAAGCACCTCCACAGACCCGTGTGCTCTGTCCTCTACCTCACCAGGCCTTTGTGGTAACGGCCCTTCCCTTGGCCATTCTGCATCATGTGATGATGAGGTTTCGGGCGATGAATTCATGGTGAGTTCTCCGGGCTGACTGGAGATGATCCCACTCTGTCCAAGCTGAGATCTGTTGTGGTGATCTCTCCTAATCCTACCCTTCATCGGTCCTTACTATAGGCATAACCTGCCCTCTGCCTGCCCTCTGTGTCATTCAGATTTATGTAAGGTAGCCTTGGAACTGACTATGCTGATTCTCGGGGGCTGCTTCCTCTGGGGCGTGTGGGAAGAAAGGCTCTTTGCTCTTCAAATAGAAACACTAGCCCACATTCTCTCTTTCTGGTTCTGTGGCAGTTATAGGTACCAGTCAATGGGAAGCTATACTGAACACTGTCCCGCTTCTAGTTTTTTTTTTTTTCTTCTGAAATGTACCTCACATCAGGGTGGCAGAAATTTGAATGCTACTTTTCCCCCCCTTTCCTGTTGTGTGGTTCTAGATATGATTGTAATACCAAAGGTGAGTTTTCACCTGGGCCTGGTAGTGCTTGCCTGTAATCCTAGCACCTGGAAGGTGGCGATAAGATGATCTGCAGTTCAAGGTCATTCTCAGTTATATTGTAAGTTGGAAGCTAGCCTGGGCTACATGAGACCTTGTCAAGAAGGAGGGGGAAGTAGGGGGAAACCACGGAAAAAGGTGATTTTAAAATTATGGTCTATGGAAAATGCGGTTTGTGTGTGTGTGTGTGTGTGTGTCTTGTTTGTTTTTGTTTTTATTGAAGTTGAGGTGTCCTAGAGCTGTTTCTACCACAGAAATGGTGAAGCTGCGCAGAGGCCACCCTGGGCGGAATGGTTATCACGGCGAGGGTAAAGGAGGCGTAGGGTGTAGTCACACACTTACCTCCACAGCCAGATCCCTTTGTTCCCTTTCCTATGGAAAGACCCATTGTTCCTCCAGGCAGATGAGAAAGTGGGTGTGAAGTGGCGACCCACTACACCTAGGAATGACCATCCTGTGGATTCCACTGCCTTGGGGTGAAGGCCTCCCTTTTTAAGGAGCATAAATTTGAAGATGTTGAGAAAGGAGTTGTACAAGGAATGGCATATGTCGCTGTGAGATTTGACAAGACAATGGCCTTGTAGAATTGGCTCAGCAGGACTCTTGGTTCTCTCTGACGAAGACTTCCTGGGAAGAGCCTGAATCGGTAGCACCCTCCCTCCTGGTCTGCCCAGTGCTGGGTGAGGTGGAGATCACTCTCCTCTCCTGTCTTATGTAAAGGCCTCCTCCCTCCTGGAAGGAAGGCCCGCTCAGCTTGTTCAGCCTCGGTCATTTCTTGAACTTCAGTGACAGTGTTGCAGAACCATCTTGCAGGAAACAGCTGTAATATGTTTTGCAGACATCGGAAATACCCTGAGGAGAGAGTTAATGGGAGGGAACATAATAAGCCTTTTTGTGCAAAGAGTAAGATGTGGAATATATTTTATCTTAACAGTTTTCAGCAAAGCCCCTGGAGATTGTTTTTATGTGGTTAGAAGTTTTTCATTAAAGCAGAAGTCTTTTTTTTTTTTTTTAATTCGAAGCACTATTTTTGCTCTTAAATATCTTTTGTCCCTAAAGGGAACCCCAGGCCAAACCCCTTTATCTCCCACAGTCCCCAAGCTATAGTGGTTAATCAGGGTCGTAGATATGCCAGGATCAATGAGGAAGCTTCCTTTTCTCTCCTTTGAGAATTTTCCTTGGGGGAAAACCTCTTTTAACTAAATTTTCTTGTTAATAAGACATAGACAGGGATAAAAATCGCATTAAGTGATCTTGGGGCTGTCTTATGGATTAAACAAAGCAGAACCTGCAGATTCGTGGGGCGGGGTGGAGTTCAGCCCTGAAGTGTGAATCGGACTGGTCGAGGCTCAGCGTGGGTGTCAACAATGACGGCAGGCTCACTGTTGCTCAGTGTCCATAAGAACACCTCTCGGCCACATTCACAGCCTGCCAGCTCCTCGTGGTGGCATCTGCAGAGCTCCCTTCCTCTCAGTCTGACCCTCTCCAGCACTCGAGATTGAACCCAGGTCCTCCAGCAAGCACTCTACCGCTGAGCGATAGCCCCAGCCCTATTTCACATAGTTGTTTATCTTAGATCTATGTATACATATTGCACTCAGGTCACCAGTTTTGGAGGCAGATGCCATCTCACCAGTTCCACACCAGTCTTATTTTAACGCTTTTAAAAATTTAGTTTGAGGCAAGATCTCAACTAAGTTCCCAAGGTGGCTTTGAACTCATTATGTGGTCCATGACCTTATACATATGAGTGCCTTGCCTCAGTTTCATAATAATTAGGATTCCACGCAATTATTTCATTTTTGTCTCAACATACTAAAGGGTGGACATGACTCACAGTTAACATCATACTGAATAGGCAAGAGTTAAAAGCTTTCTCTTTGAGAAGTGGGCCAGGAAAAGGATGCCTGCCTTCCTCACTTAGAGTCTACATGTACTGGAAGTCCTAGGCAGAGCAATCAAGAATTGGAAGCCGGGCAGTGGTGGCACACGCCTTTAATCCCAGCACTTGGGAGGCAGAGCCAGGCGGATCTCTGTGAGTTCAAGGCCAGCCTGGACTACCAAGTGAGTTCCAGGAAAGGCGCAAAGCTACACAGAGAAACCCTGTCTCGAAAAACCAAAAAAAAAAAAAAAAAAAAAAAAAAGAATTGGAATGGAGTACCAAATTGTCAGTGTACAGATGGCATGATTTTCTATGTAGGAAACCCCAAAGACTCCATCAAAAAACCATTATGACTAATTAACAAATTCAGAAGGTCTGTTCTCATGACATCACATAAAAAGTCTTGTATTTGAGAACTGAAAAGTATCCAGTACATAAGATCTAACAGTGAAGGTTCCTACGCTTAACTGTTGATTGATGATAAGTAACTATAATGAGTTTGGAAGCAAAGGGCTCTATGATGAATCCCTGTTCATTTTCTAGGTAGATGTAATGTTAGGAAGTATTTTTATGTTTTACTTTCTTTTATAGACTGGTTCTGATAATATAATATAAAAGTGATAAATTTTTATGTTTTAAATTATTTATGTTTTGGTTTGATTTATTTCTTTTGTTTTCTTGAGACACAGTCTTGCTAGTTAGCCCAGACTATCCTTGAGCCCATGATCATCTTGTCTCAGCATTCCAAGTGCTGGGATGATAGGAATAAACCACCATACCTGGGTAAGCTAGTTTTAAATAATGAGAATGATGTCTACCACACAGGCAACCATACACTAATTTGTGTTCCATACATTGAGCATATGCCACATCCCATATCTGGGATAGTTGTGATTTGGCTTGTATATAGCATTCTAATCAGCATTGCTACGTGTAAAAGTTAAAGTATCAACTATACTCACCATACATACACACACACACATTTTGTTTTATTTTAAATTATTTTTATATGTATGATCATCCTGCTTTTGTGTATGTGTATATATCAAGTGTGTGACTGTCCATGGGTTCACAAGAGGATATTGGATTCTCTGAAACTAGAGATATGGGTAGTTGTGAGCCACTACATGGTGCTGGGACCTGGAAATGGAACCCAGGTCCTCAACAAGAGCAACAAGTGCTCTTAACTGCTGAGCCATCTCTCCATCCCTTGGTGACAGATATACTTACTCACTTGACTTAATCAGTCCATACTGTATGGATGGACAATAACCTTAACACCCCATAAATAAATAATTATAGTTTGTTAATTAATAATACTTAAAAAACAACTGTATTCTTTAACGCACACTCACAAATATAGAAGGCTACCACTATTACAATCTGGAGTCAAAAGGAGAATTTGTTTGGCTAGATCATAGGACACACTCTTGAGTTATCACTTGCCATTCAACTGTGAGTGCTGGCTCTTCGATGGAGCATGTGTGTATGTGTGAGTGCCTGCAAGTTTGGAATTAGCTAATTGATCTGATTGTCCTCCTGTTGACAAACTGAAGTCTTAGGATTTCTCTAAGGGGTAGCTTCCATTGGCTTGTTTATCTTTAACTAGTACTGAGCCCTACTTTAACCATGGATGGGCAGTAACTTGATGTTTTAGCCTTCATCCCCACATAAAAGGGGAACAGTCCTTAATGACATATCAAAATCTATTTTAAAGGTCTTTCCAAGATGATGCAAGATCTCTATGCCTCAAGCATGAGGAAATACATATGTTGGAATCCAGCCAGAGTTATCCAGAGTAATTCCTGAAATGCCCTGCTAGGTTCTGGTTCTGTGTGAGGAAGAAAGGATGGAAAAGAAGCACAAGGAAGATGGACATTCAGCAGTCCTTGACTTGGAAGTACAGTCATGTACTACTTAGTGATGTGTTCTGAGAAGTGCACCATTAGGTGACTTGATCTTCGTGTGAGCATCATAGTGCATGCACTTCCACACACTAAGACAGCTAAGGCACAATGGAAGCACAGTCCTGAGGGACCACTGTGGAACATGTGGTCTGCTGTTGCCCGGAGCACTGGGGGGTAGTTTGAATAAGAATCTGCTCCCCCCCCCATAGACTCATGTTAAATACCTAGTCTCCAGTTGGTGGACCTGTTTAGGAAGGGTTAGGAGATGTGGCCTTGTTGGGGGAGGTGTATCACTGGGATACATATGTTGGAATCCCGCCAGAGGCATCCAGAGTAATTCCTGGAATGCCCTGCTAGGTTCTGGCTCTGTGTGAGGAAGAAAGGATGGAGAAGAAACACAAGGAAGATGGACATTCAGCAATTTGAGCACATTTCTAGTGTGCTGTTTCTTGTCTGTAGATGTGGATGTAAACTCTCAGTGAAGCAATATAGGTCCAACCGGGGCTGAAGATTTAGAAGCTCCCTGGAGAGTAGCCAGTAGGAATCTGCATTTAGAACTGGAAGACTCTAGAGGCTGGTGGCTGGGGATGAGGGCAGCAACAAAACTTCAAAAACTCAAGAAGTCTTGAGTCCAACCATGGTGCAAGATTCTCCCTGCTTTTGCTTTTTGCTCTGTTCAGGTCCTGGGCCAATTGGGTAATGTCACCCATGTTATCTCTACTCGTTTCTGTAACCGACAGAGCCAGTCTCTGGAAATGTCCTCAGAGACACATATATTGCTTTTCCAACTTTCTAGGCATCCAAATGTAGTTGACAGCCAAAATAAGACATCCCTCACACAGAAATTGTGGCAGCCACTTTGAACCCATGAAGCAGCCAGCAGCTGAGGACGAAGGGCTCTGGCTGAGGCAGTCACACAGAGAGAGTCACCTGGCTCCTCAAGGAACTCGTCTTGCCACCAAGACCTCATTTCTGTTACTTGAGATCATGAAAACATACTTAATGTCCTTCATTTATTACCATTATGGGCTTATTGGCCACTGAAAACACCGTAAAAGGAGTGAAATATCCCCAAGATCATAGGGGTAAGTGTCAACCAATGTAGTTGATAAGCAATCTGAGTTGCAAAAATACAAGTTGGGAACAGCAGAATCTTTTATCAGGAGGCCTAGGATGTTCTGGGAATGGGGTGGCTGGGACAATTGCCCTGATCAGAAGCAGGCAATTGTGATCCTGCGCACACATCAGAGGACATGCCGTTTCCTCCTCCTGGTTCTAAACTTAGTGACTGCTGTTTGAAAGCCTGTCATTTCTCCTCTGGTGTTTTTCATTAAACCCATCATTCTGTTACCAAAGGCAGGAAGTGGGAAGCAGAGGGTGCTGGCAGGGGACGACATTTGATACTAATAAATAAAACATGTTCAGATGCTCCGGAGAGACGCTAATGCTCCTTTACATGACAAGTCCACTGCTTTTAGACCTCGTTAAGATGATGACTTCATGCAATGTCACTCACAGCTGAGGGGCCTGTAACCATGCAACCATGCTGGTGACCTCATTCTCATGTGTGTCCACAGCTTTCTGTTACCGGCTCATCTGCATGGTGAATGGATCTAGGCCTCTCCCCAGCCCAGGCTGGTGGAACACAGGCATGGAGGAAGGTATTCGCTTCCCCACACCCTGGCCCTCCATCCCTGTCTGCTGGAACTGAGGTCTGCATTAGTGGGTCATGAAATCCACTTGAAGTAAGACTAACATTGAGAAGTAAGACAGAATAGCTTTAATGAAATCAGATAAAAAAATAGGATTGGGTAGGAGGCCTCAGAAAATACCATGATTATAGAAAACCATGAGGTCTCGGTTTGATTTTATTTTTATTTTATATTTGAGATGGTATCTCAGATTAGACCAGTCTAACATCAAATTCATGTACTTGAGAATGAGCTTGAACTTCTGATCCTCCTGGACCAAACTCCCCAGTGCTGGTACTATAGGCATGAACCACCAAGAGCCTGGTTTATATGATGCTGAAAATTGAACCCAGGGCTTTGTGCATGTTAGGCAAGCATTCTACAAACTGATCCTCTGTCCCACCCAACCCTTCGTCTTGATTTTAGGTGTATTCTTGAGAATACATTTAAAAATATTTAATTTAGATATATGAGGTGGCATGTCTATAACCTCTCAGCCCATGGGAGGCTAAAGGAGAGGGATCCTAAGTTTGAAGCCATTCTGGGTTATATAGCAAGACCCTACTTAAAAAATAAACACATTATATATATGTATATGTATATGTATATGTGTATACACACACACACACACACATATATAGTACTTGCTTTTGTTGACATAATATTTATGGGATGAAACATGTATAATGGTCAATTCAGGGTAACTAGTATTTTCATCTCAAATACTGTAATTTCTACTTGAGCTGTTTTGAAAAGCATCACGTGTTTGCTGACTACAGTTACCACACTGTGCTACACAACAGCAGGACCATCCTTCCTACTATTCAGATGCAGTCTAGCACTTAGCAAACCTTTCTCTGCTGCTCCCATCTTGCCAGCACATAGTGGCCGTTATTCTCCTCTTCCCTTCCCTTCCCCTTCCTTCTCCTCACCTCCTTTCCCTTCCCTGCCTCTCCTTTCCACCCTTCCCTCCCCTCCCCTGCCTCTCTCTTGTTTTATATTCCTAGGCTAGAACTCAGGGGCTAGGCAAACACTGCCACTAAGCTGCATCTCCAACCACGGATCAACTTTCTACTTCTATATGATCATCTTTATTTTCAGTTTTTATAGATGAGTGATGATATTCAGTATTTGTCTTTCTGTCTGTCTGTCTCAAAATGACCCTAACATCCTCCAACTCCATCTGTATGTAGGCAAATCTTGTATTTTCTCTTATCGTCCCTCTAACTGAAAATAGAAAATATTGCCCGAAATAATTAAAGTAAAACCTTTAAGAGCCCACACGATGAAGTAAATGCACATTAATTCTAAACTAGGCTTGGCAAGATGGCTGCGTGTGAAGGGCACGTGCCTTGCAAGCCTGATGACCCAAGTTTGATCCTTGGAACCCACAGAGAGGCAGAAGGAGAAAAAAGACTCCACAGGGATGTCTTCTGTTCTCCACCGGTGCACTGTGGCATTTGTGGGTGTGCCCTCCCCCCACGAGAATAATAATAAAACTTTAAAAAATTAAAGAATATATCAAACAAGCCTGTTCTAAGTGAGCCGTAGCATTCCTTTTGAGTGATCCTGTGATGGTTTCAAACTGAACTTGTGGCTGGGTACGATGACACATGCCTATTACCCCACCAGGCAGGAGGCAGAGGCAGGATATAAGGAGTTCAAGTCCATCATTGGCTACATGAGGCCCTATAACATACAAACACACACATACAACAACAACACACAAACAAACCCTACCCAGGTCATTAGAACAGCCTATATTGCTTGTGAAACTCTTCAGTCTGTTCAGCAAGACACATTTGGAAGCCAGTATTCTAGATTAGTGCAAATTTCTGCTCAGTTCAGCAGATGGATCCAATATGATTTTTCAAATATTTGTATCAGCTGTGAGTGTAGGCATTAATTAGTCTTTGAGTCAGAATCCCTAAAGCAGCTAGATAGAAGGCCCAAAGAAAATGAGGTAGAATGCATTGAAAGTCAAAGCTTTCTGAAACTCTCTGCCCCTGCATTTTGATCATTTCCTACTTGTTTCAGAGAAACATGTGTTCTTGGCAAAGCAGGCAGGTGAAGGAAGGGGTCTGCGGAACAGGGCTG